TGCAATGCTAAAATCTTCCCTCCTTCATAAATTTAATGCTCAGTTGCACTTTGACTTGTTGGTTTTTCTTTTATTCTGGACTTACCATTTTTATCCCTCTGTAAAGCTGATTGCTTTGAACATATTTGAAAACCCATCTCAGCGGTGTTGCAGTCACCAAATAAAGACATAAGCCTGAGATATGGTCTAATGTTAGTGCAACGTTTTCCTTAAAGAACAAAGCAAAAAAATGGGACCTTTATAAGAGCGCAGCCTCTACCATCCCATAAAACAGGGGCTACAACTACTATGTAAATGAGTCTGAGGCTTCCTACCAGGTTTTCTTTTCCTTTGACAAATTTCATAGGTTTCTATTCGCTACTTTTATAATACCCAACGTTAATACCAGCACCATTTTAAAGCATTGCTTCTCTTGCACCATATTTGTCTTCTCTGATGCTGTTTTACTCATTTGCCTCAGCTGTTCCTTTGAACATTGTTATTTTTGCGACTTTGAAGACTGAAGACAATGTGGTTAAAGGAAGAAGTCATTTGTAAAACACGTTCAGTCAGTTGTTAAATCAGTGCCACTGTCCTAATATGTGCTTGTACTCTGCCACCAGCCTTCCTGTTCACTATTTTATATTATGTAATCTATCCCTTATGACACTGTTACAAATGCTGGTTCTTAAAACTAGCAAATACTGCCTCGCCTCATCTCCCTTCAGTGACCAAGGGCAGAATCCATTGTGGCCTTATCTCTGTTTTAAACTGTTTACTGGCATTTACTTGCAAACCTGTTTACTTGTCTGTGTGATATTTAATTTTCTTTCAGTTGTGTTGGGGCAGAAATCATTTCACAACATTTTTGTTAGAAGTATAAGCATTTTACAGTACTGTTTAACTTATGGGCCACAAATTTTCTTCACTTATTCTGAGGATTAACTTAAGTGATTAGTATTGGATTTACAATAATAAGGAACAAACCATTGCATACACAGCAAATAAAACCATAACAAGCCTTTTAACCTGCAAGGAATATTTTTAAATAGCTTTTTGAACCTTGAGAGACGTCTGCTTTTATATTCTTTATTTTAAAATGTTTTTTTTTACATGTAAATGCAATACTTTTATATTCAATTTCTTTCCTTGCAATAAGTTTGCGCAGTGGAGTATATACAATATTACTGGACTTCTAAAGAATCTTACAAACTTGACATGTTTTGCCTATCTTTTGCCATTCTAGACACTACAATCTAGTGGATGAAAAAAGACATTAAATTCCATTTCAGCAGTATCTAATCACATGCATTTTTTTTAGAAACTTGTTTTTGTTGGCTTTTTTCTGCAATTGTGGCTCTTTTGTTTCCAGTAAATACTTTGTAATACAGGAATTGTCTTCCAGATTTGTACTATTGTTAAGAAAGATGTTCGTGTATAGTTAAGTTGTTTGACGTTAAGTTCAAGCAACTTACTTGCCTAAACTCTTTCCTGTGGGTGGCATTGTTACTTTTATTGGCACAGTGAGTTATTAATCCTTTCTCATGATTTTAGCAATATCCCAAGGATGCTAAAAATTTTCAAGTAAGCTACTTATCAGCATTTTCAGTACAAAACTGTACAACTGTTCAAATCTAGCTGTTAAGTCTTGTCTTCTCTTATTTCTAAAAATATACATAGAATTTGAGTCTGTCTCCAGAATGTTTTTTTTTTTTATAATTCCAACTAATATGATGAAAAAGCAAATTAAATTCTCAGCTATAGCAATGCTTTCTTTATTTGGAACTATTTCAGAATTCAACACTAGTGTAATATTGAATATCCTGCTGCTGACATTTTCCTAATTATTTACATCTAACTGCTCCCCTACAGCTGTCTGTTTCTGTTAACAATATGCTTTATTTCACTTCTGTTTTCATTGCACAGACTCATAAGAGATTATAATGATTACCTGAAAAGGCATGAACCTAAGTAAATGAAACCATAAATACCCCAAGCATAAAAAATTTCTTATACAAACCGAACAAGAGTGAAACAAATGAGCTACCCACTTTAGACCAAATAACTCCATAGAGGTGCCCATTTTGAAACAAAATGCTCTTCAATTATTAACCATATTATTTACTTTTTCTTTCAAAAGCAGCTGTGTTTATGAGTACTGAACAAATGTGTATACTTTCCTGTGCCAGACTTTTGACTTTGTTTTCAAGCACTGTACTGTGGGATTGAGTGGCAGCTTTGTTAGAAATAATAATATATTAGGGTTAACCCTTTTAGGACTGAACTATTTTCTCCCTTCATAAAGTTGCAAAAAAAAAAAAAAAATCCAACTTTGTAAATGTTTACCTATTTTCAATACTGCATTGGTCCAGATGCAAGTGCTGTGCTTATTTTTCATTTTTCTTTAACTTTGCAGCACATGTATCTATTCAATCCGAAAAGGGTTACAATTTACAAACTGTGCACCTGTAAATTTTCCTAGCAATAAGGTAGAAAATTGAGCAAGTTTTTACCATAATTTTGTAGAAGAATAAATTGCTTGGTTCCATATTTCATCAAGAAAAACCTGCAACATGGTCAGTTTTGAGGAATAAATAAAAGTGAAAATATAAACCACGTAAAGGTGTTCTGTCAAGTGTACTCTCTGTGTGTATGTGCATATAATATTTGATTTCTATTTCTTACATAAGACTGCAGTCAAGATAAAATGTCATGTTACTATTCATGTGACAAACTTTTACATCTGTATGATGATGATGATGATACTATTAGATAGTAATATGATTTTAATCACAATTGTTGTTGGTTTGCCATATTTTTGCTGACTTTTAATGTTATACAAGAAATCAGATTTTTAGCAGATGAACAGTGAGGTCATCTTGGAACCAGATCAACCGAAGACTCAAGCCCAGGAGTGAAAAAATCGTCAGTAGTTATGAGGGCCTGCACACTGGACTCCACTTTAAACTGGATATGGAATGTCCACACACACCTGGTTTCAAAATCTAAATCTGTTTCTCTATGGCTTGTATAATTGCTGGAGTTAGACAAGAGACTGTTCTTTTTTTCCCCCAATAATGTAAAAAATGAACCGGTTCACTTTTTTTGATATTATTTATTAAATAAGAAAAAATGAACTGTGTTTAATTATTTAAATTTAACAGTTACTGCTACAACTAGCTAACCTGGTTTTTCTCATCTTCACTACTTATATGCTGTTTGGCTGAGTGTGTTTTTCCTTCAAAAGTTGGTTAATAATTGGGTTCAATTTTCTCCCATGAAATTGTCACAAGAAGCTTGTTTTTGTGTTGGTGCAAGACAGAATGCTGTAAGTCTGCAGAAACAACTGAGTGAAATAATCTCTTTGGATTGCAAACACAAATAGCCAATTGCATTACGTACGTAAAGCCAAACAACACTTTTTAATGTTACATTAAAAAAATACAGGGGTTAGATGTGGTAGAAGATACTAAGAATGGTAGGAGCAGCAAAGAAAAGACACTCAGAGCAGAGAGATCATGAGAGGGATGGGAACAAATCTAGTAACAGATGAGCAGAGTGATTTATAAAGTCTGTTACCTAAACCAGAGTAAGTTAATAGTTAGCTTTAACTGTAAGGAAGCAGTTATCAACCTATGCAAGATACCGACACACAGATATTATCCATGTAAAAGTGCAAGTTCAAGGTGTGTGCATCATGATCAAGACAAAAGGCAAAACTGAAGTCTTTGCTGGTCTTTATAGAGAGTTTGGTGAGTCCATCTCTAGAAATAGCTTTTGAAAGATTCATAACAACATGAAATTAGATTGCAACACGGGGAATTTAAGTTGGGTATTAGGAACCGCTTTCAAGCGATGAGGTTAGTTGAACTGTGGAGCAGGTAACTCGAGCCTCTATTCTTGGGAACTTTTAACAGGTTAGACAAGCCTTAAAATTAGATGGTCTATACCAGGTTGATGCTGCCTTGACTAGGGAGTTGCATTAGATGACCCCTGAGGTCCCTTCCAGGCCTGTTTTCCTATGATCTTACAGTTGTCTGCAATGATACGTGAATGATTCATCATGTGTTTAGAGCAGCACAGGAGTGAAGGGGAATGAGACGGAAGAAATGGTGGCCTTAAGATTTGGCAAGACAAGTAGCTTTTGCATACTGTATCATAGGGATCATTACTGGAGTTGCTGTTCAGCATATGGAATCACTGGTCTTTAAGGCCCTTTACATTGTTTTAGAAGAGAAAATGGGTTGTAAAGTGAATGTAGACTCGCATTAAAGGCTCTTTGATGTTTCCAGAGCTGCACTACCATTGATTTATGTGGCTCTTTTGGAACGGCAGAAATGGGAAAAATCATCTTAGATGCAGAATGGCTGGATTGTTAAACTTGAATGTTGGTACAGAGAGGAAAAAGTGATTGTAGGAAATATTCTAAGTCTTCCTTAACATAGATGTAGCATTCTGGAAGTATGTCATTAGCCAAAAAGTAGCAGTTAACTACGTAGATAACTGGTTCTGGCATACACTTCCTGTTGGGAGTTTAAAGAAAATGTGCAAAACAGTTAGCTAGAGAAACTGGGCAATTAGATAAAATTATCCAGTGCCATGCAAGAAAAAAGGGATCACCATACCTGGTCAGACCAATGGTCCAGTTGCCTGTTGGCATGGCTGGTACCAGGTATTTTCCAGGTGGGTACAAGAAACGGGAAGAAGCAGTTGTAAAATAATCTGATGTTTCAGAATGTTTCCTCCTAACATCAATTACTTATACCTTTGCCCAATTGAATCTTGTGGTAAAAAGTTTCACAGGTTAATTCCGTGCTGTCTGAAAAAGTATCAAACAGTTTTGAATTTGAACATTTCAGATGTCCTGTCTCCAGTAATATGAGGGTAATATTACCTGCTCAGGTAATATGAGAGGGTGACTAAATGTTCCTGGTGTTCATTCCCTGTGCTATCATTTTGAATACTGTTACTGTTTTCCCTTTTATTTGACTGCTCTCTAAGACAG